CTTTTGCTTACTTCCCATCCTTTAGGAAACAATGATTTTGGAAGCCATAAAATGTCATGTCATCACTTTTTCAAAAACGTTCCATAGAAAAATATTTAAGATGGCGGAGTAAAGTCTTTGCTTAATCCAATTAGCATTTAAATATTTTAATCAATAAAAGATGACAATTGGACCGGACTAGATGCCAGCTCCCTGACAGCCATGCCTTTTGTCACACATAGTCTCAGTTCCACTGATGTTTTACTGAACAGTAGTAAACATATCAAAACAGTAAATGTCCATGACACAATCTAGGAGCTGTATAAACTTGGAATCTTTACCTTCTATGGCAGCAAAAGGAGTAACAGAAAATTAACAGTAAGGAATGATTTCCTGAAGACTGGACTGATAATGATATATTTAAGATGCCTGTGATGAGACCCATTAACCAGTAGAAAATTGCAACTGTGAGTTCTGTGTTTGCATGTGACCTGAAACAGTTAACAACACTGACATTTAATCATCAAATGATGATGAGGCAGGGGAAAAAAAAAAACCCTCAACATTTGTTTTCCCAATACTACTTGGCAGACAAGTGTATAGTACGGACATTTGCTGGAAGCACTTATGCTTAATGACTCACTAGCATTGCTACGTTCAGTCTGCATCTTTCAGTGCAAAGAGAGAGACAAAAAGGAAGGAGTAGTTTCTAGAGGTTTTCTACTAGAAAGCCAATCTGGAAATGTCTGCTTAATTGGGTAGTTATTTGACCATCAATTCAGTAGTGCCTGAAAAATCTACTTGCTATTTATCGCAACTGAATGGCAGCAAGGCCAAAAAATGTCAAAAGTGTCTTCGTGAACCATGTAAGAAAGTAATCTTTATCAGTGATACCCACATGGAGAAAATTCCACTCAGCTCTTCCTTCAGTTTCTTGGCAAGATTTCAAACAAATTCTTCCAGGTCCCTTCAACACATCTGTTCCTGTTGCCCTTAAGTGGGTGAAGTAAGCATTCATTGTCAAGAAAGAACTCATGTTTTCAGCAGGTGTTAGCCAGATGTAATGAACACATGCATACCTCAAGCAAGTTCTGTGAAGGGAACTATGCCCCCCACCCATAAAAGCTGATGAAACATCAGTTTCTGATTAATTTCAGATGATAACTTCTTCCATAAAAGCACAAGTCTGGGAGGAAGACAAGCAGTTCAAAACCAATTGGTCTTCACATGAGGCACATTTATAATCCTCACTGAAAGCAACATTTGGCTCTGTTGTTTGTGAGGGCTGTCATCATGCCTTATCAGATTGTCCAACCAGTTCTGCTGATTGGGACAGCAAAAATATTTTTGCTTAGCAGCAAACCTCAGCTGTGATGTGGCAATGTGTTCATTCTCTCATGATATTCAGGGTGAGTTTTCCTGTCACCAGTATTCTGTTTTGCACCCTGCCACATTTTTTTTCCTAAACTACTGATCTGGTAAGATACTGTAAGCAAAAGAGATACTTGCATGATCCCATGCTGAACCAGGGCTCACTGAGCAGATCGTTCTGTTAAGCAACTGGTAAGTCAGTCGCTGGGCAGCAACATCCCAAAAACCATTCTTGGATTCTCCAACATCCAAAGCAAGTGACAGAAAGGGGCCCATCTTTAGGCCGCATATACCTACAGGAGATCAGGAAGCCCAGTTTCAATCCAGGGAAAACAATGACTTGTCTGTGGAGGGTTTTAAAGACTTTATTAGCCCCAGAATCTGACACTCAGTGTAGAGGCCATACCAGATGTAAAGAGCCACAGGTCCTGCTCTTGGCTTACTGTCTTGCAATGAATAATGAATTCTTTCTGCGTCTGGGAAACTTACAGCTTTGTATTAAGAGAATATAGCAACATGGTTCATTGCACTACTTTGAGCAGCCGCTTCATTCAATCCGCTGGTTTTTTACCTTTTATGTCCACTGATAATACAAAGGCACCAGTCACTCTTGCTCAGAATACATGACAGTGAGACTGGCAGAGGGTCCTGGTCTAAGTGTCTCTGGGCAGAGCGATGCTCAGTTAGTACAGAACTGCAATATTTGTGCAGTCTGAGGCACTGCAGAGAGAAGGGCTGATGATAGCAGTGATACCAGAACAAGCATATAGGTGCAACGGACTTACCATCTGAAACCTGTACATCTCTTATCTTGCTAAAAAGAGATTGGTGCAAGCCTGGGCCATTTTCAAGAAAAACTGACTGCAGAGTCGTCAGTGACATCCTTGTATATAAGACAAAGTCTTTCTTGCTATCCTGCTGATAATGGAACAGAATAAACCTAAGAGGGGGGGAAAAAAGCCACGTTTCTACAAGTAAACAATTAAAATAGTCCTAATGCATTGGAACAGTATTGCCAAATGACTATCCTGGATGGCCCTTTCTCCAGCTTCTGCAGGAGAAAGAACAGGGTTACAAAAAAAACCAAAAAAAGGCCAAACCAAAACCAAACCAAACACAAACCAACAACATGAGGAAGACCATGAGAATACCCTGTCACAACACGGACCCTTCAACAGCTCCTGTTGAGTTTTCATCTGATGGGCTGCTACAGGCACAGTTAACATTTTTATAGCTATATCTTTTCTCAGTAATGTGCATCAAAACATTGCTTATACTTAGGCTCAGTAATAGCTTTGGCCAATGAACAGGCAGAAACAGCAAGGACAGTATAGGAATTCAGCAGTACTGAGGAAAATTCTAATCCTACTAAATTTGGCAGCACAAATCTCTTATGTAACCTGTGATTTAGAGGACAGTCTGATCATCTGGGAATATTAATGTGTTCTTCTCAGTACATTAAACAAAAATGGCAACTTTCCATTACAGATTTTTTCTTTTTCACTGCATAATGTCTCAGGAAAAGCACCCCATACTAACAAGACATTTTTAGTATAAACAAAAATGCTTTTATATGACAATTCAATTATACTGAAGGTATATATAAGTTTAAAAGCTAGCTTTAAATGCTTCTTTGCCAAGATTGCCTTGAACAGTGGTGCACCTCAGAGGTGCAGGAGAGGGCTTGTAATCTCAATTTAAAGCAATGTGTCTCCAAAACAATGCTTGGAAAATGGGCTTTTCTGAAAGTTGACTGTTACATCAGCAAATTTTACAGACCTCAGGAACTGAACCTCTCACAAGGCTAAGAAGGTTTAAGAGCTACAGATAGAAGATCCCAAGCATGTAGAAACCACTAGAACAAACCACTGTTTGTATCCACTATTAAAAAACAAAACCTGTCCTTTTCCAACAAAAATATATTCTAACATGCAAAAGCAGCTGCCCAGTAATAAGATAGAGGTGCATAAAAGCTCTATTCACAATTAAGAACAAAGGATCATATTATTTAAATCCCTGTTGTTCTTAAATCAGTTACAAAATCAGGTAAGAGTTCATTCAGTGCCAATATTTACAGAGTACAATAAACATTCAATTCATATCATGTATTCAAGAATTACAAAGTCATGCTTTTGAAATAGAGATATTGGCAACTTTTAGGAAGACAAGAAAAGAAGTTCTATTCACAGAATAGGAAAAAATCAAATCATTCTTATAGAACACACCCATAAAGGGTGAAGAGTTCAGAGAACATCAGAGAATCTGCCACCTGAAATTGCCACACACTCTGCTGACAAGCACTTACTGCAAAACTTGAAGCCAATTATAGAAATTTTCTTTTCATCCATACAAAGGATGTGCCATAGAGATGTACACTAATATTAGAATTCTTTGACACGTTTGGAAACAAGTGGCCACCACCACGTGGAAATAACTTTTTAGGCTGCCAGCTATGACCAGCTAGCTAATCCATGTACCTCCATTGAATTGTTAATGTTGGTGAAGCTTTTAAAGTGAAAAGCAGCAGCATTCCCCTCTTCTTTTGGGGGACCCAGCTCATTTCACTATCCAGATAAAAGCTTCTTAGTAAATATAAAATGCTGAAAAGAATTACCATTTTAACAACTGCAGGATATCAACACATTTGAAACAAGAAACTTCGGTGACAAATGCTCAATAATGGATAGTTAAGGGTGACAGGAAATGTCAGGCAACCCCCTTTAGAGGGCTACATACAGCACAACCACAGCATGGCAAGAGCTAAGAGCAAAGAGGATAACTGTATCTCCCGTAGTCTTTATTTTCTCCCACTAACACATAGAAAGAACAGCAACTTTCAGTCTCCAGTAGTCATGCAGTTGTTTCACTAATAGATATGAGAACAAAAGGAAACCTAAAACAGAGTATCTATTCATAAGGAAATTCCCATTGATAGTTTTTCTGTTACAATTGAAAGAAAGTTTGAAAGCATAAGAGATTGCCAAGAGGAGATTGCTGGGAGGAGTAAACACTTAAATAGGTCTCATAAAAACCCCACCATGAATTAATAGTACCATTCTCTTCCCCTAAAATGCATGCACAATGACACTTACTACTCTCCATAAGAGAAATTGCTTTCTCATGTAGAAATCAACCAAAGGACGAAAGAAATGCAGAGCCACACTCAGCCTCTCATGTTCAGAGAGACTAACTTCAGGACTTATATCAAACCAGCGCTGAAGAGAAGGCAGCCTGTTTTGATTTTTCAAATTTGACATGTATATAAGCAATTACATCATAGAATTCAACAGCCAGTTTCAAACCAAGTATTCAAAAGCCAGACTAACTTAGGAAATGACGAGACTGAGACCTGGCATTAGAAATTGATGCTTATTATTTTATTGCCTTGGACCACCAGATACCATATGTAAAGCCTCCTGAGAAGCTAACAAGGGAATAGCTAATCAGTCTTAACAGCAGAGTAACACACTAGATTCCAGTAGTTTAACAATTTGTAATTTAACCAACCCTACTGTAGGTAGAAACAAAATTCAACAAGCCAATTGCATTAAAATCTGGAAAACAATACTTAGAAGGGAGGATGTAATAGTTTGGGGTGAGAGTAATATAAATATCTATAAGCATAGAACTAAATGAAGATACTAGTTTAATGAGGCGATACAAGCTTATATTTTATACATTTAGAAAATATTACTATCAGACAAGCAGAAGACTCAAGATACTGCAAAAGAATACAAGTGTTAATCTCATATCTGTGTTATGATGGTAACGTAGTTTCAACCCATCCACTAGGATTTCCTCATTCACTTTGAACTGTATCAGTTGCTGCAAACCATTAAAGTATCAGTTAACATTAGTGCTAAAACAACAAAAACCAGATATCATGTACATTTCTAGGCAAACAATCAGGCTGTCTTTACCTCTCATCTCATTCCAAGTAAATGTATTCTCTTCCAGAAAGTAATATTCACAAATTATTTTAGAGAAAACTAACTGTACAAAGACACAGAAGTTAAAGTTCATAAAAAGACTAATCAATACAGTTAGACAGAAGTTTGCTTGTAGTTCTTCGTATCCAAGACCTTCTTGCCACACATTGAGCAGATGCCTATAAGCACACAAAAGGTGTGTAAATTATTTTAAAATCATTAAAGTTTTTCTTCAAAAACATAGTTGCTATGTTTTTGTAAAGATCACTTTCAAAGAATTAAGCGAGCTCTCATTGACAATCTAACTGTGCATTTTCTCACCAGATACTGCAAATTCAGAAAGTAATAATATGACTTCTAATGCAAATCACTATTTGCAGCATGTGTAATACTGCCACTTAAAAAAAAAAAAAAGCTCTATTTTGAGAGCATTATGATTCACAACACTGCCTGAAGCCTTTGTCATTTGCTGGAACACTGGAAGAGAGCCAGGAAAGGCTCTCATCTGGTAAAAATGGTGTATTATTAATCTTTGTAAGTCCTACAGCCAAACCGAGGCCCAAGATGGACAGAAAGTAGCTAGGCTAAGAAAATATAGTCACCAACAAACTGACTGCTAAATGGAAGACTAACAGATGGGGAGCTTTAGACAATTGAGAAAGTTGAGAAGAATACGCTTTCATAGAATTAAGCTATTCATAGAGTCGTAGAAGTGAGAAACAATGGACACCAAGAATACTTCAGAGTTGAAGATGACCACTGATGACTCAGAGGACTTCGACCTAAACCCAAAGAGTGACAAGTCAGAAGACTAGAGGAGCAAAAAGTACACAAGGTCAGCAAGAGCAGAGGGGTGGGTTGTTTCTGTTTCCCTCCTAAAGCAGAAAGGAGCTAAATCTTTTGTCTGGTAGGGCCACATCTCGTTTTACAAGACAATTCATCAGCAGACACAAAAAAAAACAACCCGTCAAGTGGCAACTATTCCCATTAACTGCCTCCAAATTGTGTGCTTTCATATCTTGACTGGATACATATCTAAGAGTCCATTAGGAAAGAGAACAGCAGGGAACATGCCACATGATTTACTTTGGAGAGCAAAGTCCAGCCCACAAGCTGTTCACTTCAGGTCTAAATTGAGGAGTAATTAACTTCAGATTGCCTCTCAATTTCAGAGATAGGCAACAGTTGAAGCGCTAAGCCATATGATTGCATTTGCTTGAAGAAACATGCCACAATCATGTCTTCGATGGTCTGAACTAGAACCTAAAGCACTTAAGAGTTCTAAATTTTATGAAGAAACCAGATTCAACCTGTAAAGATACACAAGCAAAGACAAAATCCCAAAGCCCACCCAAACCAGCCATAAGTTTAAGACAAGGTTCTACCATATGGGATTCAGGCAGCCATCTGGTGAGCATCTAGCAAATAGAAAAGGCAACCCTCCTACAGCAGGCTGCTAAATGACTGACTCAATGACACAGTACACATTTATAGATCAATTAAAGTAATTTCATAAACAAAAGTTACTACTGGTTAGTTGTAGCTCTACATCTAACAATTGGTTCACTCCATGTCTTGCATGCTATGTGGATTCCTCAGTATTAATAAATGTTCATGTTGCTTTTTTCCTCCTACAAGTTTGAGCCCTTTTGCTTACCTACTCAAAATCACAAGACTAGTAAAAGTTTGATGTCCTCAAGGCTCTCCATCAAATTTGCTTGAAATTGATTCCCCCCCCCCCCAGGAATTTTTGAACAGTTTTTAACAATACTAAAAATGGGAGCTAGAAAGCATCCAGGTACGAGCATAATTTCAATGTTGTCATTCACACGTAACTCCTAAGTACAGAAAGATTTTATACATCATGTACTGCACAGTGCAATATCTTGCTTTCTAGAGACAACGATTACATTCTTCTTTTTCATTTTTCAGTTTCATCTTAAGCCAAGCTTGACTTACAATGCATCAAGCATGTTCACAACTGGACCAGACTCTCTTTTTAGAGAATCAAACCTTTCAATGGCTTACATTAAGCCACTGAATGTGTAAGAATACAAGCAGGCACAAAGACAACCATGAGCATGATTTGCCTTCAGAGACACTTTCTTAATTGCTTTTACAACTCTTTTTTTTTTTCCCCTCTTTGCCTTTTACTCCCCAGGTATTCTACTTTTATTAAGCTAGCCTATCACTTTACCAAGATCAGAAGTTGGATATTTGGTTGTTTTGTAGGGTTTTTTTGGCGGGTAGATGGGCCTGGGGTGTTGGGGTTTTGGGTTGAGGGTGGAGTAGTTTTTTTGGTGGGGTTGGGTTGGTCTTTGTTGGGGTTTTTTGGGTTTTTTTTTTTTTTTGAGACCACTATTTAGAGTTTTAGATTTAACTATTATAAAAAAGGGGAGAGGGGAGAAGGAAGTAGAAAAGAGACTGCAACAAGCAATTTTCACAAAAAAAAAAAAAAATCACTTTTTTTTTTTAAACTAAGAAAAATCAAACTTGCTAGATGAGTTTTCTATGCAATTGCCAAGATTAAGTTTACAGTTATTCTTCCAATTCTACTGCTTTAGATACTAGAAACATTCTAAAAGAAGCAGAATCACAGAATGACTTCAGTTGGAAAGGATGTCCAGCAGTCTCTAGGCTGTGTTTTGAGCAGGGCAGAGGCAGGACAACTTGGATAAGGCTGGCTGACAGCTTTTCAAGTCAAGCGGTGAGTATCTCCTGTAGAGATTCCACAACCTCTGTGGGTCCCTGTTATTACAATATTTGACCACCCTCACAATGAAAATTGCTTTCCTTATATGTAATCAGAATTTTCCACATTCTAACCCATGTACATTGTCTCTTATTCTATTACTGTGCACCTCAGAAGAGTCTGACTCCATCTTCTCTACACCTGCCTATCAGTAGTTGAAGACAGCAACTAAATCTCATCTTAGCTTTCCCTTTGTAAGGCAAAACAAATTTAAGAGTTCCACTTGCTCTCTAATTTCAAACCAAACTCGGGTAATTTGGTACTCGATGAAACTCACCTTTTTTATAGGCACATCCTTGACAATAATGAGACCCTGGCTGATGGACAGAACTCTTACAAATCCGACATATTGCAAATTTGTTCTTTCCATAAGGATCAAACCTGGGAAAAAGGAAAAGCATTTTATTTATACACCTGGAAAGAAAGTATTTCCTCCACTTCATCCTAAAAAGTCTAAGCCAGAGGGCACAGACAGAAACTCCAGCAAAAACCGTAATTTAGAAAAGGGACATACAAGGATTATTTCTAATATGCTGCACAAAGTCTACTGAAAAGCTCCCACTTTCCCCATTAAGAGAGATTTCTTGCATTACGGACAAAAACTTAACAAAAGCAGAACTAAAAATATGTCTTTTTAGTAAGATACAAGACCATTTTGAACTTAAAACACCTTCCAGCAGTGCCTTGCCCTCCTTGCACAACAGAACGTCCCCCAGACATTAAGGAAATGCTCAAGAAATTGTACCGGCAATCTTAGAGAAAATAAGTCTTCCCAGCTCCTCTCCTAACAAAAGCATCAAACCCTAGCAATTTGGGTGAGAACTGCAGTAAAATAGTTGTCCACGCTCTACAATTCAGCAGAAAGCACCCATGAAATACGCGTGGACATACTTATACCATTTAATCAAATATCATAATGCCCACAATTTTTTTTTTTTTTAAAGTGTATTTTGGATAAGTTTTGAGCAGTTGCCCAGATATGCATAAAACAGGCCTCACTTACAGCAAACTGACTTTTTTAGTCAAAATCGGTATTAAATACTAACCTTGCCTTCTTTGAGGTCAATGCCTTGTTTTCATTTAACTTGCGGCCACCGCTTTCTACAAAAAGAATAAAACCATAAACCAATAAATTTCCCAGTTCCAAACATACTTTAGAAAACTTAGTTTATAGATTTTACACAGGTGCAAATAAAGTCACAATGAAAAATAAAACTTATAGCACAGCATTAGAGCACAGGACAACAGAATACTTTATACTGTGCTCTATGTATCATCATTCCATACAAAGAGGAAAAAAAACCCCAGTTCAATACCAAAGAGCTCAGGGTAAATAAATTTCCAATGCATTAAATTATCATGGGAAAGAAACTGCAGGAGTCAAAAATTAACCTAATTATCTCAAATTTTTGCCTTAATATCATAAGATAGCTCAGGTGCCCAAATAGCCTTAAGAAACCTGAAAAACAAGCGTTAAACCTCCCCAAGATTACCTGTAGTGTTTCTTGCACCATCTTTCCAGGTATCGGGAGTGATTACCGTACCGAGTTTCTTCTCACCTACATAAGGAAACATTACAAAGGAAAAAAAATTGAAACTACACAGCGTTAACACCCGCAACAAGCGCTGTCTGTGGGATAACCACAGTTCACACAGAGGGAACCGCCACCTCCGGCCCACCCCATACAGCCCGGGACCCGTAGCTGCTGGACAGGACAGGACAGGACAGGACAGGACAG